GCTACGGCGTAGGTCCGATGCAGAAGTATAAATCAGCCTTTACTAGGGGCGAGACGTGGGCTGATGACGTGATCGTTTCAGAAAATATACGGACTCTGGGACCCGGTTTCAAAAAATATCGGTTTCACTCTCCCAAAACACCGGATCCGTGTGGACGAAACGCCTATACGATACAAAATGTATGCGTATACAGCTAAACGCGTCTCCGTGTGGACAGGGCATCTGATGGAGGATCATGGGAAAGATTCAAAGATTCAGCCTTGCGCAGAGAACGCTTTAATACTGATCTACAGTATATGAACAATACATCACTTTGACTTCAGAAGACACACATCGAGACCATATCATCCCTGTTACTAATATGTAAAATGGCAAAAACGACAAAAAGACAGATGTAAACAAATGTGGCATGTTTGTGAGTTTGGCATGTTGTACAGATCACAGGAAGAGTCAAAGCTGACATGCTCCTCATTCATGTCAACAACCTCTTGAAAACTGTTCATTCTGAGTGCAAACATGGTTAAAAATACAAAGTGTTCCCAAAAACAAAACAAAAAAAACACTTTTTCTACATTCAGGGAAGTACAGGACTCAGTACCTGTCTCAGCGACCGGATTCCTAAACGTTCTGCCGAGATAATAGCATCTCCAATCATCTAGGATTGTTCTTAAGAGGCATTGAAGTGTTTACCCAACAATGGTGTAATCTTTACCTCGTGACAACCTGAAATGACAGTCGTCAGTAGTAAGTGTGTCGCCTCCTTGAACAGTTAATTCCATCTCAACCATCTCAACTAAGCCAATTCAGTCAATTAATCCTATTCATTACTCAAACTCTGCTGAGAAATACGTGCATTTCGCTGAATTTCGAATCACACATGCTGGAAATAAACAGAATGGACCCCAAACCCTTATATATCATCATTAAAACACGCGTGAGTTGACTCACATAAAAGAGCAGCGGTCGCTTGCTTCAGTCTGCATCTTTTCAGCATTTCATACATGCAGTTTTCATGAGAGTGTGATTGGCTGAGGTATTGACATTCATTATTAGTGCATGATATTTGCACAAATGTAAAAAAACAGGATCCAAAAACTAAAAAAAAACATCTTAAGTTAAATAAAGAAAAAAAAGAAAAGAAAAAAGAGACTAAACAAATATTATCAGCGACATCAGATATACAAATATCAAATGAATACCGGAGATAGACGATAATTTGGACTGATCTAATCTGTTAAAACACATTGGTTTTTATGAGGTGAAATATTTAAAAATGATTTTCGAAAAAAATAAAAAATAAAATAAAAAAACTAAGCTAATAAAAGATTCAGCTAATTTCCGCTGGTATTCACTGAGCGCTGAACTGTTGGTTTGTAATTAACATCACTGATAACGACCCACAGGCTCACTGAAATACTTCTGCAGGGTGTTGAAAAATCAACATCAAAATAATAAAAATAAATCATATTTTGCATAAAGTAAATGAAGCCTGATTTTTGTATCATTATTTTTTCCACTGTAACATTTTGATGACAATTAAGGACATTTATTTTTTAAATTACTGTTGTTGCAATGTGAAAAAAATAATGACTGCCACTATTGTACTGAATATAATTTATTCTCTTTTTAATAAAAAATCTAAAGTTTTTCATTACAGTAACAAGAATGTTGAGGGAAATGTGCTTAACATGAAAATAACGTCATAATACACAAAGTCTTAATGGTTTTATGAACAGGCTTCATTTTCGTTATGCAAAGTATAATTTATTACTTGTTTTTCCTATGATGTTTGCAGTTAAATATTTCTTCATGAAATTCTTACTGTACTGTCAGAAACATTTTCATTACAAATGGCAAATTTTTGACTGTAATGATACTTTTTTGGTGAATAATGTTTTTTTCCAAAGTTAATTTGCTTTAACGGTTGTGTTGAAATGAGTCGGTGTGTGTGTGTGTGTGGTGGCAGTGAGGCAGCTCTAGAGTCAGTCCTTGTCTGGGCCAGTGCAGGTGTCATTCCGTTTCATTCTGTCCATCATCTTTTCCTATATCTATGTCACCTCAGTGCTGCCCTCTACTGGCTGGCTGCGGTTAACGGAGAGAAAGGCGGCCCCCCGGGCCCAGGGCACCGTCTCTGCGTGAGTTGCTCTCTCTGTTCTCGGCTCGAGCTCAGTTGAAGCCCAGTCCGGCTCCCTTCGGCCTCTGAGACGCACGTATGGGCTCCGTGATGCCTCTGCCGTCAGGGCCCAGGCCCGACCCCGGGGTCCAACCCATACTCTGCAGCATACGGTTCCCCACGTTTGACTCCGGGAGAGGAGCAGCGCCCTCACCCACCATACCTGAGAGAGAGAGACACGGAGAGAAAGGGATCATCTGCATTAAACGGTAAAGCTCACTGATCTTTGTAATGCACTTAATGGGATGAAAGAGTCCTTTAGATGAACTCTGATCTGCATCAAAGCATTAAATGCATTTAAAAACCCACAAAATATATACAAATGTCCAGATGTTTAGTTAACAAATAATATGAACTTATAAATAATAATTTTCAACAGATTTAAAATGTGTGTATAAATAAATATATATATATAAATAAATGCGCGCACACACACACACACACACACACACATTAAGAAAATAAATATTATAAAATAAAATATTAAGGCACATTTTGTAATGTGACTATTTTTATGACAATTGAGCACATCTACATCTTAAATATGTTCTTTTCCATAGTGGAAGCTTTACTTCTGAGGATTTTATTTAAAATTAATTAATTTTATTTATTTATTTTTTCAAAACATTTTTTACTTCATATTTTTGTTAAATTAATGCAAACTGTTACACTTTACAATAAGGTTCTATACATTAATCTTAGTTCATGCAATAACTAAAAAGCACTCATAATGAACAATATGAGATTTATTAATCTTGGTTAATGTTAATGTTTACATTTTAGCATTTCAAGTTGTTTAAATTAACATTAGTTAATATGTTAAGAACAAACATAAATTGAACAACTAAAATGCACTGGAATGATTTTTAGAAGTTTATTGGAGTATATTTTACACACACACAAAATTTCACGAATAATTCAATGTGTTACTTGCTGATTCTTTATAAATATTTGTGAAATTTACTAGCAATTTCTGAGTGAAATTTGTTTCCACGCCAATTTTTTTTTCAGGGTGGTAACAGTTTATTTTACAGTGTTTATGCTACATATATAACATGTTACCATAATCAATCACTACTAGACCAATAACAAGACCTATTTGTAATTTTCATCAGCTTTAAAAATAGCAACACAGCAAGTACATGTAGTTAACCAGAATGACACTGCAATGATTTATGTAAATACATAACAAAATGAATGAACACTGTAAAATAATGTGTAACCAAAACATGTTGTCCATTTTTAGTTCATGGCATCCAAAACCGGACCTTACTGTAAAGTGTTAGCATATAAATCAGTGTTTCTGGACATGGTTGCATTGAAAATCTCATAACTTAAGTGGAGAGTGCTTTCCTCAGTTGTGTTTCAAATAATCCTGATGTTACATGTCACAATTCCTGCTCCTCATACTCTAAAGAGTTTCTGAGAAATTGGTAATCTCAGCTCTGTGACCTCTGACCCCTGAGGACCGCAGCTGTGTGCTCTGCGTCACACAGATCATGGCAGGAAATGATGTTCTTTAATGAGGAAATGAGATCAGTACTGATCTGCCTGCTCAGTTGCCAATCTTGTCACATAACCGCCACTGAGTTTACGGTTACCACGGCGACAAGCCTCTGCCTCTTCATGATGACACACGGGTCACATGTTTCCATGAAGTGTTTGTGTTAAGGAATAGGGCATCATTTGCATTTATTATTCAGAATGTGGGTCTGACCTCTCTTCACAGAAACATTTCAGATCACCCAACAGCTGTGATGGTAAATGAGTGTGTGTGTGTGCGTGTGTGTGCGCGTGTTACCTGAGGATGATGGGGCTGCCACAGGTGCAGCTTTCCGTCGTCTCTTTATATCTCCAGTACACAAAGAGCCAAGATGACCACTTGTTTGTCTACAGAGAGAGAGGGAGAGTTCAGGATAGTTACTACTAGGGCTGTCAAAAAAAAATTTTGAATTTCGAATATTCGTCGAATTTAAAATAAAAATCCACATTCGAATGCAAAAACGTTGCATTCGAATTTTAGGTGTGCGTTAATGAGGCAGCCTTATCAGTGACGCATGAGATGCGATGGCGATGTGTCGTTGCATTATAATGTTTTTGTTAGCCTATCCAGTTGAAGCCACCAGATGCAGCGCTGCTGCGTTGTTCATTAAAAATATTGCGGAAAAAGAGAACAATGCGGAGAAGATCTTGTTTACATCAAAACTGAAACCAAGCCATTCACACAGAACACATATTTCGCACATTTTCTAGAGGGACATCTATCACCGTTGCACTCGCTTCTCACACAAAGGAGCCGCATGTTTAGAAAGCCATGTAAAATTAATGCAAGTTTAACTTTGAAAAAAACATATATCGAGACTTTATGGCGGGTTTTTTCCCCATCCCACTGCATCTCATGTTTTTAAATGAAAAATTGAACTTTCTCTGTGTGACTGGCTTTCCGCCCTTTGTATTAAACTATGCATACATACATGATGCTGTTTTGTATATAGTTGTTTAAGCAACTTAATTAATTATAATTGATTTATAAACATTATTTTAAACATTATGCACTTTTATCAAAGATAGTCATGTTATCTTATGCTTTGAATAAACGTGCGTTAGTAATATTTTGCTCGATGCGCCCTCTTGTGGCCTCAGAAGAGAAGCCAAAAGCTTTTCTTCACCCTTACTAAAAATTATGTAAAAATTATGATCATGTTTAAGTACAAAATTCAAATTTAGTTTTTCAGCCATTTTGACAGCCCTAGTTACTACTTGGGTAAATATGCTAAAATTGCATATTTTGAAATTAGACTATGGCAAAATTATACAGAAGAGCTAATTGGTGCCATTTTAACCCCTTTCACACTGCACATTGGTCCCGGAAAATTGCCGGAGTGCCTTCTGTGTGAACACAAACACGTCACGGGATTGATTCCGGGATCGATCCCGGGTTGGGGACCTAGTAACATTGCCGGGTTCAGTCCCGGAACGAGCTCTGTGTGAACAAAAGCCAGAACCAATGCCGTAAAGGGTGTGTTGTAGTGATGACGCATGTTATCGTGTGACTCTTTTACCGGGTGTTTTGAAGGCAGATCAACGTTCGCAACGAAAAAATATGTGCAAACTGTAACGAAGCAGAGATCAGGTAGCTCCTCACTATCTGCGCTGAAGCTGAGATCGTTCACCAGCTTAAATGAAACAGAACGTGTCACATTACACGTCACACCGTAATGTCAAGTGTCTTTACGGGATCTTTACGGGATCTTTACGGGATGTGTGTGAACACACAAACAGATTCAGGAA